AATTGACATTAAAGAAGGGCACAATCATAAGACCTCATTCATAATTATAAATAGTCAGCTCAGTTGTCATTGTAAAGGAGAAGAATTTTCTGGCAAACTTACACTACTTTCTATATAAAGCTCAATATAATCTTACCTTCTTACTTTTTGATTTCGTTGTTGTCGTGCCCGGAAATTATGTTCCCGAAACTATTGTTTCTGCTGTTTCGTCTATATCCTAAGACTAAGTATTGTATAATTTTTCGATTATTTTATTATTTCAGGATTAAATTAATTTAATTATGTAGAAATCACATATAAATTTAACTGTATCGTTGTACGGGTAAACAATGTTTATGCATGGACCACGCAAACTCGATTATTGTTAATTCAATATATGTCTTACTTCAAGATATTGAGCTACGAAATTCACCTGTGGTAATAACCAACTTACATTAACTGTAATTGCAGTCACTGAAAGGACAACATAGCAAACGTGAGAATTTTACAGGATTATCATCAAATAAATGGGGGAGTCTTGATGTGATATAGTACAGGTGGAGTTAATTAATGCTGTAAGTTTTAAAGGGTCCCAATGGTTGGGAGTTGGGACACTGCCAATTGACCGCAGTGCCTTGTGAACCAATGGTTAAAACCAGAGGTTAGTCACCCAATACCCATATGTAAAAGTAACCTTCAGTTTACCAACCAGTAGTTTTTGTTGGTTCCAATCTGCTAATCTGTCAACAAAAATAAAAAATTCAGTATATTTTCATAAGTTGATTTCGAGAGTGTAATGTGTTGGTAAATCTTAGCCCTACTTTAAAGGTGAAGAATTTGTTTTCAATAGACCATGACTCAAGAAAAGATAAAAAGAAAGTAATAGTAACAACAACAAAATAAAAAAAAAATAACGAAAGAAACAACATGTAGTAATGAAATCTAATAATAATAGAATGGAAGAATAACGTACTGGCAGTGGGAATAAATACTTTTGCTTACCTATTAGCCTTCTACCTTAATTCTAGATATCCACACTTTCCAATCAAGAATCATATTCTCGATAAGTTGAAGCAATGTCATATCCTACCTTAATTTTCCAATCTGCTACTCGTACTTTTAGTTTTAAATTCAACGCTAGTTTGATTTGATTCACAAGATTAAATTTTGTGTCTTATTCTTCAAGAGCTCAACTATCGCTCTCCTTGAACAACAAGAATTGTGGTGGAGTAGTAAGTATTCCTTCATCCTTAACAAGAGGTCTCGGTTCGAGTCCCTGGGTATGGAGTCGTCTTTGTTAGAGAGCGCTTTATCCCCAATGTGAAATTTTCCAGCGCGAATTCAAATTTAGTCGGGCCCCAACATGGGTACCGAACATCGGGTGAGAAACCAAAAAAAAAACTATCGCTCTCCTTTAAGTGATTTGTAAATCCAAAAAAAAAATTATACTATATTGTAAGGTCAATTAAAATTAATTACAGGTAATTGTTCATAGTAAAAAGAAAATATAATCCCTTCCTTTTCCGTAATGTTTGTCACTTTGCATTCGCTACAACCAAGTTAACAAACATGTTAAATAGTCTTAGTAATCGATGAGAAAACTCTTCTTCGTTTGAAGCTGATCAATGGAATGATATTAAACTTAATCTCGTTTGCTTTAGTACTAGATTTTGAGATTCAAGAAGATATTAATATTAATTTCGAATACTTTAGTTCTAGATAATGGGATTCTACTAGATATGTTGCAGGTTAATATGGTGTAAATATTTATTGTCGTCTAGGTTTTATATCATAATAAATTCATAAAAGAATCCAAATTGTAATAAAATATTTGTCACATCAGATATAGGTGATCCAAAATTGTGAGATCTCGAGTTGTAAGTTCATCAATGTTAGTTTCATTACTCTTTTAATGTTTTTTCTTCTATTTATTGGATTAGTTTTATTACTCATTTAATGTTTTACCTTCAAATTATTGGTTATGATTGATAGATTAATTTGCTTCAGAATTCTTAGATCTTACAACTGCCGCAGCTGTTCTTTATCCTGTGAAATAAATTTGGTGGTCAAATTGCGAAGGCAGGTGATCAGACTTCAATCTTGGCATCATAAATTCCCGAACTATAGAAGCAAGAATTTAACTTATATATGTCGACAATCATAAAAGGATTCTTATGTTGTCTACTTGTTTATATACTCTGTTTCATTTTCAAAGTTACTAATTTCACTTTTCATACATAATTTACCAATAATTACTTCAATTCTTTAGTGCAAAAAAATTCTTTTATATTGTCATCATAAAGATAAACTTTAGGAGTCCATTATTTAAATGGTCATTCAACTATCCGAAATTATCTAGTAAAGTCATCTTTATTTCGTTTGTAACAAAAAAATCACTTAACTATGTCTATGGCATAGCACGTAGAAGGTCACTCAACTAGATTTTTCAAACTTTTGATTGTCAAATACCTATTTTACGCTCTAAATTATCAACTTTTGTCTTTTTTTTATTTTAATTTTTTTAATATTATAATTTTTTCTCTTTTTAATCTACATTACGGACTTATCTATAGAACTAATAGATTTTATTTATAAAATATAAAATGAAAAATTAGTTTCCTAGCATATATCATATTGGAATAATAAAATAATTGAGCATATAAATTTTCAAGAATATATAATATATATTATAAAATATACCTCTATTATAAATAATTATTTTTATATTACGTTCATGGGATATGTATTTAAAAAAAAATTCTTTCATTCTTAATTGTGTAAATAAATTTTTGAGTTTTTGTTGTTAATATCAAAATTATTACCACGAACAAATTATTCTTTATTTTTTTACTTTATAAATAAAATTTATTTAGTGTTTAGGTAAGTCCATAATATAAATTTAAAAGAGAAAAATAATCATAATATTAAAAAGTAAAAAGAATGGACAAAAGTTGATAATTTAGAGGGTAAAATAGGTATTTGACAATCAAAAGTTTGAGAAATCTAGTTGAGTGAACTTCTGAGTGCAATAAGCATAGTTAAATGACTTTTCTGTTATAAACGAAAGGAAAATGACTATTAGATAATTTCAAATAATTAAGTGATTATTTGAGCAATTAACTCTAAATTTTAGTTGCAAACATAACTTTTTATTTTCTCTATATAATGGTTACTGATAGAATGTAATCACAGCAGCAGCCTCTACAGAGACCAATAGGGACGACACCCTATTACCTCCATTGTAAAACAATGGCACACAATCTTTGGCATGGCTATCTGTATTACGTACTCTTTAGCTGATGGGACCAATAAATTTTTGTAGCCCCATTGCTTTGAAATTTCTTGTCTCAAAAGTACTCTGTTTCTAAAAAGAAAATGACAAAATTCAGTGAGTACTCTTTGACAGTCAGAATACAGTGTCAAAAAATTATATAAGAGAAATTAGTTAAATCTCCAGATAATACTAGTATTACTCCTAGTATAATTTTTTGGAACGTAAAAGTACTTTCTTTTGTTCCCAAAATTTTTAGTATAAATAAATTTCAAAAAAGGTATTAAAAAAATAATCCCATATATGGACTGTAAGAAGCAGAATATTCGGAAGAAAATTGAATGAGGGAGTTACGTGTTTGTCTCTCTCAAAGATCCTATAAAGAAAGATATGTGCAGAAGATATAAGAAAAGAGGAAAGAACTGGTGGATAGTCCATATTATCCAGCTGGAGAGATTGATCGATCATCAAATAGTGAGTAATAAGTTTTACGCCAGCTTTAAAACCATATCATTATCATTAAGAATCTAATATAAATAAGTTGTTTATGTAATCATGTTTCCACTTACTACTTACTTAAGAGGACAGAGAACATACCTTAGAGCTATGTAATGAGGCAAAAGGTTTAATCGTTGACCTCTCGCTTCTCTCTCCTTCCCTTGTTCGGCTATATTAAGTGGTAATATGATATAATGAAAACTAACGTGCAGATACGAGACTAGGATTTAAAGCTTATGAATTCAAGATTCTAAATGCTTTTAAGTTATTGCATTCTAAATTAAAAATTTATACATATTCAATGAACTTCTTAAGACAAATATAAGATTTTAACCAAAATTACTAGCTTTAACCGAACACGTAGACTAAAGGCATCTCATATTAGACCCTCAGAAAAAAAAGAAAAAAAATAGCTCCGCCCCTACTAACATGTTTTTATATGTTAAGCTATATTAATAGTGTAAATAATCTTTACCCGGTGAGTTACCAAGTCCTTGAGCAATTAGCGTACAACCCTCGACCAGAAAAACATAAAAAGGGTTAACCCATATCTAGGAATAAAAATTTTTCTAGTTAAAATCCTTGGTAAAAAATCATGCTAACTTCAAAATTTTCCAAATTTCTACTTAAATTGCACAAGGGGAAATATGATAGACATAACTTATTGGCAAGCCAAAGTCCACAAAAGAACGAAGTGGAAACATGCAAAGATGGGATTACTTTGACTCAAATTCTGCCTCGACCATCACTATGTACTGACAGACCGTGCGATGGCTTGTTTTTTTTTTACTTTTCACACAACACAATTCATAGTTCTAAAGCAGAAAGAAGTGTGACTCTTTGCCATCTAAATCCAATTTGATGCACATGACATGATCTTACGGTCAAAGTTGAAAAGGCATGCTACACCTTTTGAAAATTTTGGAGGTGTACAAGCTGAGCATGAGTTCGATGGTCATCATTACACCTCCCCTGCATGATTGAATCTGAGAGACATAATGAATGTTTGACTATTCCTCCAAAAAAATACTTACTTTTTCCATTCCTACAAAGATGGTGTACGAGCTGATTTGCGTCGTATATACTATTTAACCGAATACCTGCTACTCCCACCGGCACAAGCTCTTGCCGCCTTTCTTTAATTGGCAAAATAAATTTATAGTTCCTCAAAGTTAAATGCAGTAGTCTCTAATACAAGCTACTGTTTTTAGCTACAAGGTCAGCATGCAAGTTTTACTTGTGTAAGCCGTTATGCCAAGTAATGTGCCTTCAAGAATTAAAGAAGATAGAGATAGTGATTCACCAAAAGAAAGCGACAGTCAACATTACAACTAATTAGTATGGAAGTGTAATCTTTATCATTTTTACTTCCACCAATTAAAACATGAAATGCTGGTCAACTAATATCTACCACATTGACTAAAGATATCACAGGTCATTTGTTGGTCATTGAATCCATGAAAACCTTTTGCCGCACACAAGCATTCATATGATCCGTCATTTTCTTGTTCCTTCCTTGAAAAAGACCCACCATGAGTGCTCTACAGACCAACAGTTTCCAGCTTTAGTATTTATGTGAAGAGAGGCTGTCTAACACAAAACTCAACTACCACGTTTGAAGTGTTCTTTTATGAATTTTTCCGCATAAGAAGGGTACTTATCTCGAATGTACTGTCTTAAACACTTCTGGTAGGAAAAGTCTATCCATCCACCATCAGTTCTTACGACAAAGAGACACCTAGAACGTCTGAACTGGGGATGCCGATCCACCTACAACATAGAAAGGCTATTAGTCAACTAAAAAAGGCAGATATTTTTATAACCAGCGTCACAACTACTGCCTCTTCACAACATGCCACTTAGCTTTAGATTAAGGACCTGACTCCTACATTAGCAGAACGTAGTACAAAATAATTTCATCAATTCTATTGTGTTATCCTATAGAATTGATAACTTGTCGCACGCAGCTGTTCAATCTCTACTAACAAATTCCGGATCAAACTTGTTATCCTTTAAATCAATTGTAAATTTTCTTAGCAAATATAGATAATAAGACCGAGCAACCACATTTTCATCTAACTATGCAACTAACCATAATTGAGTCGAGGCCACATCCAATTTTATCCTCGCAATGAGGATGGTAAGCAAGAAGCTTGTCTACCACTATTTTCTCATCTTCTGCCGTCAGACGTTCTCCATCCATATACCTGGGAATGAGGAAAAGAGAAGTATAGGAAAAAAAATAAAAGAATCACACCTATGTAACTATATAGTAAATTCATGATCATGTTAAAGAAAGCAACATTGACTGAAAATTAGCAAGCAATACCGGCTCATTTCACAACATCACTGCTTTCTAATTGAAAAGGAGACCGTTTCTAATTCAAGCCGACAATAACTACGTAAACAACATGTTTGGCAGATTACACAAAACAAGAATTTGGTTGAAAAACAACAAAATCCAAATGCATTGAGCCATAGAGGATAACAAATTATAATAACTACTGTGCTTCAATCTCAAGTAATAACATAGAGGATAACACATTAAACAAGGAATTAATAAATAAAGATCCTACTTATTTTATACAAAGCAAATCAAATATGGTGCAGCAGACTGAAAGTACAATGGAGATTTTGATGTTTATAATATTGACAATACATTTAATAAGCAAGTTATCAATGAGAAGAAAGGACTTTCATTTACAGTAAGCTGCACGGTGAAACACTGCAATCCAATAGTGACCAAAGAGCCCTTATCAGAACTGTATTTCTTCAAAATTCTTCTCTTCACCTTAAGACTCTCGTAAATCCTTACTTTCTGACTTTCTATAGCTACCAAAACAACAAGAATAGTGCATCAAATGCCAAACTTTGATGTAAGATCGAGCCCTGGCCTTGGAAGCCATCCATTAAAGCCTTCCTAGTCCTTTTTCATTGGTTTTTCATCGATGCAGTACACACACACAAAAGTTAGGAGAAGCCGATTTAAAGAAAGTTCTTTTGCTCATACCTTTTGCAACGTATGAGCTTTCACCTCCTCTTAAGTTTTATTATGTTTTTCCAATACTTTCAGTTTTATTATGTACTTCTGCTAATTTCCAGGCCCTTCATAGCAAGCTTAAATTCCTGGAAGTTGCGATCCTACTATTGTCTGAGTGAAGTTAATGTTTAGCTTATTGGAATGTTCTCTAGCACCTAAGAAATCTTATACTTCATACTCTGTTACTTCATTCAAAAGGTGCAGCTCAAATTCTAAGAGTTTAACTCACTCACAAAATCATATTGACTTTTTCTACATACTTCAAATTGCACCACTAATAACCAAGGCACAAGAGAATTACCTCAGCAGGAAAGATAAGCTCCACCAGTAACTCGCTAATGCCAGAAAGTAAGATCAAGCTATCAATGGCTTCTTCAATAAATTCAGAAATTTTAAGAGTCTAATTGCTTTTTGATCTTTTCATGAACACAATGCCTCCGGTATGGTTTTATAAATTAAGCGAATGAAGTCAAAAAGGAAAAGTTTCTCACATGTTCATGAATCTTCAAGTTAACAAGAAAGTCCAAATCTATTAAGTAAACTTTTCTCTCAACGCCTTTCACGAGCTCATCACTAACAATCCTATTGTCAAATCAACAGCCATTTCTTTGTCTTCCACCAGTTTTCTCTTCCAAACCAGATCCAGGATAATCAAGGAACTATAGCAATCCAAATATCTTTGCATGATGCATGGCAAGTCTAACAAAGCTGCATTCATCTCCTTGTGAATAATAGGCTGTCAGTGAAAAAGATTGAAAGAGTATCTTGACTTGAGCAGAAAACTCATGTAAGGCAATTCAGAGGCTCACAAACACACGAAGGGCAAAAGATTGATCGTCGTGTTGGTAAACATGACCAATGCCTAAATAGCGGACAAAAAACTTGAAATTGGCTAGTAACTAGTAATAGACAAGATTTTAGCGGAAAGGAAAGCTCAAGGAAGAGCAAGAAAAGCACACCAATGCGTCGACCGAGAAGGTCATAAAAGGACGTTAAACATAATTGTAGAAATAGTGAAAAACCTTTTCTTCTTATTAGGAAAAGATCAGAATGTGTCTGAGCCCGGTTCGAACCGGGGAGAAGTGAAAAACCTTTTTGCAAAAATACAGCCTCGTGCAGTTCCAGAGGAAGTTAGTGATTCTGTATTTTTTTTTTTTCTCCCTGATATCACCCCACGTTGGTGTCAGAAACTATACAGCAAGTGTTAGTTTCTGAACCACTACATGTGCATAGAACAACATGTCAAGCCTCCCAAATATAACCAATTAACTATACAAATCGTTGTTCTATCTACACCAAAAATATAATAGATAACAGAGAAATCTTGACCCTCACTGGACGCTCTATTACATCATACATTCTTCTCTTCCTTTTCTTCCACCAAACCAAAAATGCAAAAGTGGCGCTGTCCTCCATAGATTCCTTTTCTTCTTATCCTCTGCTCTCAAGTTCCATCCTGCTATCATCTCCACTAACATTCGAGGTCGAACCCACTGAATATTGAAGGTTGCAGATATTAAGGCCGAAAGCTACAAAGCAAAGCCACACAGCAGTAAAAGATGTTCTACATTCTCCTCATGCTTTTTCCACATGCAACACCAACTCACCACAATGCATCCCCTCTTTATCAAATTGTCCGCTGTTACAATAGCTCCGCGAGCAGCAATCCAGGTAAAAATATGCTACTTTTTGGTGGCTTAGATCTACATATAGCCTTCTATGTAAGACTTGGTTCTCCGCCATTAAACAAGAATCTATACTAGGATCTGACTGAAAGGTGCTTTTATGAAGAGCCTTTCCAAATCAAACTATCTACACAACCAAATTGATTAAGGCATATATTTTTGCTAGAAGTGATTCTACCTAGTCCAACTCCAATCTTGTAAAGGTCCCCGAAAAGATATGTCCCATGAAGTCTGACTTCCTTCCCATCTTAGGATATCAGCTATTGTACTCTTTTATCCGTAGCCAATGAGAATAAGCATGGATGGTCATCTTCTCAAGGTGTTTTCTCCGCACCACAAATCAAGCCAAACTTGTATTCTTGACCCGTTTCCTATCGAGAACCCAATGAATTTGGATTGGTGTATCTTCTATCTTAAAAGTAGAAGCAAAATTTGGGTATAAAAAAAGCCCTTCTATATTATTTATTCCGCTTCTATACTGATGATCCATGCTTAGAATGCTTTGCTAGATTTTTTTGATACTGGTACCAATATATTAAGAAAAGAAAAGCACTAAGGCAGTGCAAAGCCATATGTACAAGGGGGAAGATCAAATCTGATCCACCAGACTTACAAAAAACCTAACATGTCAACCAAGGACTCTGTATTCTCCACATGCCTTTCTGTACACCAAAAATAAAACAGAAGAATACAATTCATCTTAACATTCTGAAGAGTATTGTATCTGTCTTCAAAAACTCTTGAGTTCCTCTCTATCCACACTGTCCACCATACACAAGCAGGTATCACTCTCCACCATGTCTTCTGACTGACTACACCTCCCATGTTATTCCAGGATTTTAGAAGCTCCAGAGTAGTTGCAGGCATTGTCCATCTGAGGCCCACAATGTTAAGGAACAATTGCCACAATTGACTAGTGATAGGACAATGCAGAAAGTTGGTCTCCAGATCTCTGCCACATAACAAACATCTCGAGCATAACAGAAATCCCCTTCTTTGTAGGTTGTCTTGGGTTAAACAGGCTTCTCTTGCTACCAGCCATGTGAAACAAACCACCTTAAAGGAAGCTTTTGCTTTCCATATGTTCTTCCATGGCCATCCCACTGTATGCTGATCTGCATTTGTAAGCATGAAATAGGCAGATTTGACAGTGTATAACCCGTTCTTGCCACAGTGCCAGAATAAGGTGTCTTCATTTTCATTGAGCCCTTTGAACCCTTCCAAAACCTTTAAAAAATCAGCAATTCTCCCAATTTCCCAGTCATTCAGACCTCTTCTGAAAGTGATATTCCAACCATGCTGACCCCAACCCGCTTCCATTTTAATATCAGGCATGTTTGCAATACTGAAATATTCTGGAAACATCTCTTTAAGTGTACCATGCCCAAGCCAATTATCATTCCAAAATAGTGTCTTCCTACCATTACCCACCCTTGTGCTAGTGTTAACCAACACAGAGCTCCATAGTTGTCTGATAGATTTCCAAACAGCTACCCCATAGGAACTGTTGACAGGACTAGTGCACCACTGCTCAGTTTGACCATATTTCTCCCTTATAACCTTTCTCCACAAAGCATTAGCGTCTGAGTTGTATCTCCACATCCACTTCATAAGTAAACTTTGGTTGTGTGCCTTGAGGTTCCTGAGTCCCAGACCCCCCTGCCTTTTGCTGGTGATAAGTGAGCTCCAATTTACCAAATGTATGGCTCTCTTATCTTTGTTACCCTGCCAAATAAAATTCCTCCTAAGTGCATCAATTCTTTTCCTCACCTTGGATGGTATAGGAAACAATGACATGACATAGGTCGGGAGTGCATCCAATACAGTGTTAACCAAGACCACTCTGCCTCCCAAAGAAAGATACTGACTCTTCCAAGTTGCTAGTCTTTTTTCACATCTTTCCAGCACTCCACTCCATATTTCTTGAGCTTTATTCTTGGAGCCTAGTGATAATCCAAGATAAGTAGTTGGCAAAGATCCCACCTGGCAGCCCAAAATTGCAGCTAATACCTGTGTATTATCAACCGTATTAACCAGAAACAAACTAGTCTTACTCCAATTAAGATGAAGCCCAGAAACAGCTTCGAATATTACAAGGATTAATCTTAGATGTTTTAGTTGCTGAGCATCAGCATCACAGAAAACTAAAGAGTCATCAACATACAATAAATGTGTGATCCTCAAACTGTTGTCTTCCCTACTTGAGACTGAGAAGCCTCTTAGCCAAGCATTCCCCTGGGCAATCTGTATCATCTGACCCAAACCCTCCATAGCAATTAGAAACAGAAACGGGGACAAAGGGTCACCTTGTCTGAGACCTCTTTGTGACGGGAAAAATCCTTCTGGAGAAGCATTAACAAGAATAGAGAACCTAATAGTTCTTATACAGAAAGAGATCCAATTAATCTACTTTGCACCAAAGCCCATATCCTTTAGAACTTTCAGAAGAAAACTCCAGTTTACATGATCATATGCTTTCTCA